AATACACAACACATAATAATACACACAACACATAATAATACACAACACATAATTATACACACAACACATAATAATACACAACACATAATAATACACAACACATAATAATACACAACACATAATAATACACATAACACATAATTATACACAACACACATAATAATACACATAACACACATAATAATACACAACACATAATAATACACACAACACATAATAATACACAACACATAATAATACACACAACACATAATAATACACAACACATAATTATACACAACACATAATTATACACACAACACATAATAATACACAACACATAATTATACACACAACACATAATAATACACACAACACATAATAATACACAACACACATAATAATACACATAACACACATAATAATACACAACACATAATAATACACAACACATAATAATACACAACACATAATTATACCCACAACACATAATAATACACAACACACATAATAATACACAACACATAATAATACACACAACACATAATAATACACACACACATAACACACAACACATAATACACAACACACATAATAATACACATCACACAATTATACACAACACATAATAATACACAACACATAATAATACACAACACATAATTATACACACAACACATAATAATACACATCACACAATTATACACACAACACATAATAATACACAACACATAATAATACAAATAACACATAATAATACACAACACATAATAATACACAACACATAATAATACACACAACACATAATTATACACACAACACATAATAATACACATCACACATAATAATACACATCACACAATTATACACACAACACATAATAATACACAACACATAATAATACAAATAACACATAATAATACACAACACATAATAATACACATAATAATACATAACACATAATAAAACACATAACACGCAATGATAAGCATAACACATCAGTAGTCGGTAAAACGCCAGCAATTAGTTGTCGTTATAACGCCAGTCATTAGTTGTCGTTATAACACCAGCCATCAGTTGTCGGTATAACACCGGTCACTAGTTGTCGGTATAACGCCAGCCATCAGTTGTCGGTATAACGCCAGTCATTAGTTGTTCGGTATAACACCAGCCATCAGTTGTCGTTATAACACCAGCCATCAGTTGTCGGTATAACACCGGTAACTAGTTGTCGGTATAACGCCAGCCATCAGTTGTCGGTATAACGCCAGTCATTAGTTGTCCGGTATAACACCAGCCATCAGTTGTCGTTATAACACCAGCCATCAGTTGTCGGTATAACACCAGCCATTAGTTGTCGGTATAACGCCAGTCATCAGTTGTCGGTATAACGGCAGTCATCAGTTGTCGGTATAACACCAGCCATCGGTTGTTAGTATAACACCAGTCATTAGAATGACCAACATGACCGTCGTAACTCTCGTTATTTACTAAAATCGTTCCCTTTTATCATTCAATTATTCCGAGTCGACTCAACAATAACAGAACTATAGTCTGTCGCAGCGATCGTTTTTTTTTTTTTTTGTTAAATACATTTCAAGATTAGTGTGTTATGCGCTGATATAGCATAAAGATATCAAACCATGATAGGGAAATTGAAATCGTGCAATTTATAGTAAATACAGCTTAATATACCGTTACTTACTTGGAAACATTTGATAATAAATATCAGTGTTGATGTAAATCCAAAGAATGCGTAATGGCGTACAACACCAAGATGGCGCCGTCAGTTATTTAAACGTATATAAATATTGGCTTGTGATAAGAGACGCCTCTGAATAGATACCTAATGCTTCAGTGATTAACAACTCGAAACAAAGAAATGTACGTCAGAAGTGTATACACCAATATTAACCCGGTGTTTAACTACAATCTGTGAGGAGACAATGGCCCGAGAAATAGTCAACATATATCGACCAGTCTAATACACCTTCCTTCCCGTAGCCCTGCTGTCTTTTCCACCCTCTCTCGCCCCCTTTTCCCCTAATCTCTTTCCCGGGTCGATTTCAGTAGCTGTAATTCTATGTTAACGGCAATTTTGACAAATTAAATTCCGTTTTCATGATAGTTGGTTTTCCATTAAAACTCATAGCTTTGTTTGATATGATCTGTATAACATCTACAAACGTGACAATGTACAATCTTGCACAACTTCCCAACAAACATATTACCTGTTTAGTTTAGTTTAAACATATTTTATTGACAATGACATTGACAATAGGATTAGTCAGTAAATTTTACCAACTTATAAATGACTTCTCCTACAACATACACATAAACATTTACATAAATATGGTCACGTGGTGACATGAAACTATTATAATAGTCTTTTTATGTAAAATGTATAAGTGGACAAAAAATAAAGAAACAGACAGAGAGATAAGAACAGGGTGTGGCATAGGGAAAGAGAGATAGAAAGAGGGATGTAGAATGGGAGAGTGAGAGAAAGAGAAAAAAAAGTGTGTGTGGGGGGGGGGGGGGGAGGAGAGAGAATTTAAGTGAATCTTCCTGACCTCCCACTTTAAGGTTATCATCAACAGAGATATTAGAGTCACCATTGCAAAGAATATTTACATTAACAATATTCTTTGCAATGGTGACTCTAATATCTCTGTGGATGATAACATTATCTGTGGAAACTTTGTTGCTGAATTTAGAGGGATTATGAAGTGAACTATTTTTCCTTTAAAGTCATTTGGTGTTTTTTGACCGAGAGAGCCTTCCATAGCGTAGATAGATCGTTTTTATTGTTACTGCGTGTGTAGCGATATATTAAGTATACTCCAAAAGTAGGAAAGGAAAGATTGTTTCTTGGCAAATGAATGAAAAAAAACCAAGTAAATGGTCTTTATCACTTTTTGCCAAATTAGGGCAATGATACATTTACGAAATCCACAGTAATGAGAAGCAAACAGACCCTACACTAACCGCTATAATATTTACTAGACAAGTTTAGCACGAAATATGCTATAAAGTTACTACTAAAATAGTAGGTTTAAAGTAGAGCTTTTGCAAAAGCAGAAAATGACTATACTTAACGAAATCCAAAATCGTGAGAAATTCTGTATTTTCGGACGACATCCAAGATGCTTTCTGTGATCTCTTTGCTTACTCATTTGAATGATACAAAAATCAACAAGTTCCTTTTTCCTTTGTTTTTCTGGGTTCAGAATTGATTCAGTTTTGCTTTTCATCAACAATACAAGCATGATTCTCTGATAACTATCGTAGACGATTAATAAACCTGTTGTGCTATCGATTCGTAGCTGCATGTACATTGTTTCGATATCATGTGTCTACTCAATCTGTCCGTAAAAGGTTGAAAATTGAACAAAAGACACACTAGTGATTACAACATCATACAGATGTTTCGTCCTTCTAGCTTTCGTCAGTGATGTTATCGGCCCAGGCGACTGTAGTAAATTCGAATTAATCGAGGGAAAAGTCGAAATCTTGATGGGGATGTGCACCAGGTCCATAATTCAATAATGGGAACTAGCAATTGAAAAAAAAACAAAAAATAAAAATGAAAATGCAGCAATGTTCTATATTCTTATGAGTCCCGATTTTGTTTGCAACTACGGCAACGGAAGGCACAGAACAATTTTACCGGTTTTACATTGGGACGAATATATCCGACCAGTGGTTCGACTTAAAATTTAATAGTGTTGTCGTAGTTTAACAGTAAAACTTTCTTGCAGTCAATATGGATAACTTTCAAACGAGCTACATGATAATCGTGATGATTTCAATTTCCCTATCGTGAATTTTCCATTTCTGGATATTAACAGTCCTGCATCCCCAACTTATGGTGTTGACATGTCGAAGCTGTTTTGATATTTTTGTATATTATTTTTATTATTATATGTTCCTATTATCACGATTTTCTTTCAAGAAGTCGTCAACTCAAAGACAAACTCGTAACAAAAGATGCTAGTTCATAAAAAAAACTACTGGGAAGTTTTACGGTCGTTCTAGTGGTCTTATTGGGTATTCGAATTCTGTGTGCGATATGAAGCTGGATGTTGTATATGCTCGTTAGTTTACATATGGTTCCTTTGTTGTATACCTTGTTCTCATTTGAGAATGTGACAATACTTACTTGGATTGACCAAGATTCAAATGGCGGGTGTCGTCGTTGAAGCAGAAGATGCTAACCCTTCCGAAACACCTGATTTTATTATCTTTGCACTCATTAAGGAGTCTCTTTGTAAATCTGTTTTTGTTCATATTTTGCCTGGTTTTTTTTTTTATTGAATTTTAGTTTTTGATTATGAATGTTCTGGTTGTTCTTTTGCAGCAGTAGAACGTACACGTGATACATTGACCATCAAACTACCTTAATTGATAAATATGCGTGGGGGAAAGTACAAGTCAGCTGTCAACCTTGCATGAGCTGATACAAGTCTTGAACGATGAATGGGACAACAGGTCTTTTTGAATTACTCGCCAGTTCTATGCGAAGGTGCTGCAATGTTGTTCATCTCGCAAACAGGTGGCCATGCCCATTACTCATGGTCTTAATTGGATATTTCGACTCAACGTCATTTGAGGTCAAATAAAAGCAACTGAACACAAACGTTTGCAATTAACCATAACAGCAGTTTTAATAAAATTGCGAAATAACTTTATTTGTACATAACTGATAAGATTTTAAAAAGCGAATAACAAGTTAATCACAACATAATAAAACGTTACTCTCTTTTTTTTTGTCAAGTATATACAGTATCATGGGGACGAAATTTGTTGTTAAGGGGTTATGTCATGTGAAGAATTATGACAAAATACATCATGTTAGGGATATGATAGCGGTGGCGTTTAGACATTGTCCTTACCCCAAAACCGCAGTCCCACAAAGCTTGGATAGTGACGATCTAGCGGATAGTTAACAAATTCTAATAAGAAGGAATTCAAATTTGAGAATATTCATTAAAATTTCATGATGTTGAATGACTTCCACCCAAATATACAAATACAGCACAAATTATAAAATATACATTAAACACAATACAACTACGGAGCTCTCTTTTCCGACGTCGGCCTTACGGTCTCTTGTTTGTCGGGGTAGGTTTCTTTTTCTGGCTCCACTTGGGCCACCGAATATTTGTTGTCAAGAATAATCAAGATGGCGCCTATAACCAGGACAAACTGAAACACAAGAGAAAACACGTATTCATTACAAAATACTTAACGTTTGTATCACTCTGTCAAGGTACAAGCACTCTTTCTTTCCTTGTTGGCGATATTTTCAGGTGAAGCTTTGGTTTTTGTTTATTGTTCCACAGAAAGCTTTGTATATAAAACAGTAGATCTCAGTATTCTCAATATTTTGTCACTTCAGAAAGAAATTACAAGATCAGAAAACGAGAAGTAAAGAGAGGGAAACAGTATTTTCCTTGGAATAATTGATTATTATCTATCGTCAAAATGGACGTCCTTGAAGGATTATGATGTTCATCAATCAACTCGTTTGAAATCAAATTAAATAACTTGAATATGATGTCTAAATTTGTGGGAATGTAGTATTAAATTGTCATTCATAACAATGTGTAACTGTGTTGAAGATTGTCTGTGTTTTAGGACATTATGTACAAAAATTCTGAAGTACACAAGATAACAGTTCTAATTGTTATCATAAAAAGTCACTATTTCCATGCAAAGGTTGAAAATAGTGGACTGATATAAATAAAACAAATAGTAACATCTGTAGGAACGAATTATAAACAACCTTTGACCACTCTAAAACACTCACTTCAATCAATTATCTATCAGTACATTTAACTTCTCTCTCTGTACGCTACCTTATCCAATTTCAAACTGGAAGAACGTTCCCTTGGTTCTCATCATACGAGAGGTTTTTTTTCAAAGAAATGTGAACGGGGTTATGACAATACATACTTGTCAACTGTACTGTAGTATACTTCGTTTAACATATGATGTTAAGTTCGACTTGTTTAACTTTCTTGGAAAGACAAAGATTTGCATGGCGTAGTCGTATATGAAGTAGAAAACGCTTACCTTTCCGGAACACCTGATTTTATTCTTAATGTTTCGAGTTCTTCGTGTTAATATTTTTTGTTCCTGTTTTGCATAGTTTAATCGAACAGAAATTCTGTCGACACGTTGGTAGTTTCTTTGTTGTTTGGGTGTTACTCAATCATGATTAAAATTCCTATATTAAGAGCAAACTTTATCCTATTCCATTCTTACCTGAACGACATGAATCACAGGTAGAGCTTTCTCCTATTCCATTCTCACCATCAATCACAGAATAGAACTTTCCCTGTTCCATTCTCACATGAACGACATAAATTATAGTTTGAACTTTCTCCTATCCCATTCTTACCTGAACGACATAAATTACAGGTAGAACCTTCAAGAAGGTCGAGGACAGAATAGCGTCCACAATGGCATCGTAGCAGTTCTATAAATAAAATAGCACAATGTATTAACGTAAAAGGATAAAAATATAGATAAAAACAATTTACCTATATAACTACAACAGAGAAAAAAATCGGCCTTACAGGGATTTTGATTTTTGATTTTTAGGTGTGCTATATATACCGTAACACGCAGTGAGTAAGATGGAAGAAGAATAGTGAGGGATTGTAAAAAATCTAGACCGTTGTAAAAATGGTTTTCCCGTTTAATGACAAACTCTCTTTCGTAAAATAAATCTTCCATGAAATATATCGGATTCCTCTGTTACATAGGTTTTATAGTTTACATACATGATGGTAACATGAGCTCCCACTGTATTTTGTTACAGTCACATTTCTGTAGAATCTTGTTATTTTTGAACATTGTGTCTTTAATGTGGATATGATAAAGCAATGTACCATCTTGTCGGACGACTGGACATCATTTGGCCAACAGGAAGCGTTGAGATATTGTTTCAGCTGGTCCTGTTTACAGCAGATAAAATTGCCAGCGACTCTGATCGGTCTGTTGATGTTCTTGGTCAGTGTGTTATATTGTGTCCATCCATACACTCCACAGCAGTCGTACTGATAAAGAAACCAATCATCTGTTACCTACGGAAGCGTATTCCAGCCACACTGTGTTTTATTTTATCTCGAAATTTTGAGTTAGTAATCCGAAATTTTGAGATATTAACCCGAAATTTCGAGATAGCAACTCGAAATTTTGAGTAAGTAAGTCGAACCCGAAATTTCGACTTACTAACTCAAGATTTCGGATTACTAACTCAAAATTTCGGGTTATTAACTCGAAATTTCGAGATAGTAACTCAAAATTTCGAGTTGCTATCTCGAAATTTCGGGTTAATATCTCAAAATTTCCAATTACTAACTCAAAATTTCCGAGTTACTATCTCGAAATTTCGAGTTAAAAAACACAACGTGGCCGGAATACGCTTCCGTAGTTACCTACTGACATATGACACATTTTGTGTAGATTGACCAATACGATCAGGTTGTCTATTTACTGTATTCAACTTAGCACGTTGGATATTGTGATACGCATTATGTGACAAACTGTGTGACCCATTTCACTTGATTGATGTTTGTTACTATGAAATGTTTCTTTTTGCGTTATCTAATCAAAACGTTATACCATATTTAATACTACACAACGTAACACAACTTAGCAATAAATAACTGTCTTAGTATTTCAAGTACAGAAAAGTGTAACTCCTGCCGTAGCGAGCGTTGGAGTATTTCTGGAACTCCATCGTTGGTACCAGTATAAAAGTTTTGAAAGTACTCCCTCTAAGTTCAGTATTAATTTTCTACCTGGTCATTACAATTCTAATTGAACATCAAAATTTGCTATTTTGGAAATTATTTTGAAACTTTATATACAACACAAAACAGACACAAATTTACAAACGTTTCGTGGTCAGAATCAACATTTCAAGTCATCGTAGTCCACACGTGGCTGCATTAAAGTATTGAAGGCAAGATTAATTTGGAATGTATATACTTAATTACAGTCTCTAAACCTTTTCTCCCGAAACCAGCTAATAAACAAGCAAAGACTTATGAATGTATAATATTATACACTAATACGGAACAAGCGAAGAGTTTGGTTCGTGGTAAGATACCTTCAGCATAATGAAAGACCATCCAATACTATTGACATCCGTTTCATAGACGCCTCCGTAATCCTGGAAGCTGGTGTACATGGAGGCCTGTATTGAGGACTTTAGGGGCACCTTGTCATTCAGACCGTTATCAACCTGTATATGAAATTAAAAAAAAACCCATAAAACTGTTACGTTATCGTCAGTGTAAGGAGGAATGTTATGTTTTTCTGTTAAATTAGAATGTATCTTTCAAACACAAACCTATTAGTGCTACAATGAGTAGAAATCCCTATCAGGTTGTAGACATTTAGATCAGAATTGCAAACTAAAAATGTTGTGAGATATTTGGTCAGGAATCCTAAACTGCAACTCGTCATCTTCATCCATTGATAACATTAAAATATGTAATTAATAAGGTTAAGATTTGATCTACAATGACGAATTGGATTGGTGCACTTTCAGCCGTGTTCACTGTCAATAAAATACGCCATCCCGAATGCAACAAACTGGAATTTTGTTCAATGCAACATAAGAATGGACAATCAAAACAAATATTTCTTTTCTGTGCATAAATCTTAACACAGATCTTACCGTGTTATCAGCAAGCATGCCGTAAAAAATAATTTCTGTAAGGAGTAACAACAGCAGGAATCCGCCATGCTGAAAAACACAACGGTGATGGATATCACTCATCACAAACTGACAACCTAACAGCATTACAGGACGTCGTTTCAGGTTAGATATTAATATATGTATGCATTTAAACGATGGCTTTTTCCTGCAAGTGCTGCAATTTATAGATTAAATGAGACCAGGTAATTTCCGGACCAGGTCAGAAGATATACATTATGTTTGTACTTACCACAAGTAGACCACCATTGATTTTTCTTGCTGCTACTATAAGTCCGACCGCGCTGATGATCAGGAGTATTCCCCCTCCGAGCCACATGGAGAAGAAGAATGTATTGAATATGTCAGCGTCCCTAATGTGCCACGAGCTAATGGGAGTCGTATCAATGGTAGGGCTATACCTGGACACAATGGACGACAATAATGCCTTCTCCGTACTTTCATATTCATTGCCAAAACTATTGTCATCAGGGTTGACTCGAAGATCACTCGCAAGGACAATCAAGAACAGTGCAAACACCTGAAATGAGAATTATTTTTACAGTCCTCATATCCTTCGCTCGACAGCTAGACAGCTTCATTTTAGATGACTGCTATACCCAGTATTCCAGTGTTTCATGCTGTTTTCTGGTAAGAATCCCTACCCAAACTGTTACTTGTGAAATCCCATAGTTTACAAAGATATTTGTAACCTTTGCACAAGAAAATTGGCAAGATATAATGCAAAGCACCATTCTGATAAGTTCATTCTCAAAATTTTATATTATCACTGGCAATAACTACACTAATGATTAAAGTTGAAGCAAATTGATTAGCTATCGCTTATTCTTAATACTTCGCGGACAAATTACGTTATACAGGAGACGAATGTGCCGATCCTGGCTTCTTAGCTTCCCACTCTACAATAAAGATGCCCAACTATACTCCTCAAGTTTCCTTCCATAATATACCCACCAGTCCTGAAGCGTTGACAACGATCAGGAAAACACGTGATATTCCACCGGAAATTGTTAAACAGGTTGCCATGACAATCGCAAGGTATCAGCTTCCGTCTCACATACTTGTTTTCTTCGACGGCCCAGGAAATCAATTGGAGCTCTACCGAGAACAATACATTACTTACAAAAAATATGAAATACATGATTTATTCATAGAAACAAACATTTGCTCGATTTTGCTTTCACGAACCTTTCAGTTAAGATGTTTTTTTTACAAAAATGACTACCCTGGAAGAGATAAGGAATTACCTGGGTGACTCTACCCTGGGAGGGAAAAGGAATTACCTGGGTGACAGCACCCTGGGATGGATAAGGAATTAGCTGGGTGACTCTACCCTGGGAGGGATAAGGAATTACCTGGGTGACTCTACCCTGGGAGGGATAAGAAATTACCTGGATGACTCAACCCTGGGAGGGATAAGGAATTACCAGGGTGACTCTAACCTGGGAGGGAAAAGGAATTACCTGGGTGACTCAACCCTGGGAGGGATAAGGATTTTGCAGGGTGACTCTAACCTCGGAGGGAAAAGGAATTACCTGGGTGACAGCACCATGGGATGGATAAGGAAATACCTGGGTGAGTCTACCCTGGGAGGGAAAAGGAATTACCTGGGTGACAGCACCATGGGATGGATAAGGAATTACCTGGGTGAGTCTACCCTGGGAGGGATAAGAAATTAGCTGAGTGACTCTACCCTGGGATGGATAAGGAATTACCAGGGTGACTCTAACCTGGGAGGGAAAAGGAATTACCTGGGTGACAGCACCATGGGATGGATAAGGAAATACCTGGGTGAGTCTACCCTGGGAGGGATAAGGAATTACCTGGGTGACAGCACCCTGGGAGGGATAAGGAATTAGCTGGGTGACTCTACCCTGGGAGGGATAAGGAATTACCTGGGTGACTCAACCCTGGGAGGGATAAGGAATTACCAGGGTGACTCTAACCTGGGAGGGAAAAGGAATTACCAGGGTGACTCTAACCTGGGAGGGATAAGGAATTACCTGGGTGACTCAACCCTGGGAGGGATAAGGATTTACCAGGGTGACTCTAACCTCGGAGGGAAAAGGAATTACCTGGATGACTCAACCCTGGGAGGATAAGGAATTACCAGGGTGACTCAACCCTGGGAGGGATAAGGAAATACCTGGGTGAGTCTACCCTGGGAGGGATAAGGAATTAGCTGGGTGACTCTACCCTGGGAGGGATAAGGAATTACCAGGGTGACTCTAACTTGGGAGGGAAAAGGAATTACCTGGGTGAGAGCACCATTGGATGGATAAGGAATTACCTGGGTGAGTCTACCCTGGGAGGGATAAGGAATTACCTGGGTGACAGCACCATGGGATGGATAAGGAATTACCTGGGTGAGTCTACCCTGGGAGGGATAAGGAAATATCTTTGTGACCCTATCCTGGGAGGGACAAGGAAATATCTTTGTGACCCTATCCTGGGAGGGACAAGGAAATATCTTTGTGACCCTTCACATAAGGGACTTCCTAAATAACCCCACTATTGGAATGGGTAAGGGATTTAACACGTGACTCTGCCTGAGATGAATAAGGGATTTCCCAGGTAACCCCAATCAAGGGACAAATACAGGATTTCTTAGGCAAACCCGTACTAGGATAGATGAAGACTTCCCTCGTCGACCAAAATGGAGAAAGGATTCCTGGGCGACACCACACTTGATTTCCCGTTTGAGCCCCACCTTCTGATGGATAAGGAATTTCCTTGGTGACATCACGCTTGATTCAAATTATTTTCTATGTAACCACAAGGGAATAACCCAGATCAAAATTATACACATTTTTGATCAAAGTGATTGGAAAGGGATTTCCTAGATGATCCTACCCTGGAATGTACAGAAAGCTTCCAAGATGACCCTACCCTGAAATATACAGAAAGCTTCCTAGATGATCCTACCCTGGAATGTACAGGAGATTGCCTGGGTGAAATTACCATGGAATGTATCAAAAATTACAAGATGACCTTACCCTGGAATGTACAGGAGATTGCCTGGGTGAAATTACCATGGAATGTATCAAGAATTACAAGATGATCTTACCCTGGAATGTACAGAAAGCTTAATAGATGATCCTACCCAGGAATGTATAGAAAGCTTCCAAGATGACCCTACCCTGAAATATACAGAAAGCTTCCTAGATGATCCTACCTTGGAATGTACAGAAAGCTTAATAGATGATCCTACCCAGGAATGTATAGAAAGCTTCCAAGATGACCCTACCCTGAAATATACAGAAAGCTTCCTACCTACCTTGGAATGTATTATAGATGATCCTACCCAGGAATGTAGCTTCCAAGATGACCCTACCCTGAAATATACAGAAAGCTTCCTAGATGATCCTACCTTGGAATGTACAGAAAGCTTAATAGATGATCCTACCCTGGAATGTACAGGAGATTGCCTGGGTGAAATTACCATGGAATGTATCAAAAATTACAAGATGATCCTACCCTGGAATGTACAGGAGATTGCCTGGGTGAAATTACCATGGAATGTATCAAAAATTACAAGATGATCTTACCCTGGAATGTAAGTGTCATGTCTCAGTCTTATATCTATGTTAATAGTTATTATTTCAGTGTCAATAACACGCAAATAATAACATTATTATCTATAACAAACATTGTTAATGTTTACGTTCAAAGTTGTTTGCATTTTATCGCTGTGTTCCAAGGGAAGCTTAATATCGTACTTAAAATGTCAACAATACCTGGTCTATATATGAACTTTAAGTATACAAACAAAAACCTATTTTATCATAGATAATTCACTAATAGTAGGTCTTAGTAAATGTTATTTCTCTGATAACCTCGGTATACAAAATCAAAATTTAGGTTAAAACTGAAAACTGCCCCTGTACATACATACTACATATATGTTACATACATTGTATATACTATCATACACATAAAAAAAATTAAAATGGCGGATGGTATTTCTCAAATGAAATTTAAATATCTGTGGCTGTTAGGGCAGTTATTATTTATAACATCTATATTTTTTCCTCTATAAGTTCGATGTTTCGCCTAGAAACTCGTACTTACTTTCTTAATATCCCATGAATACTTCTTGTACTTCCATATCGCACTGGGTCTTTGCAATATTGCTATATAGTTAACAAAACGCGACACACAACTGTTCTGGTACTGTTTTTTGTGTTCGTTCCAGATCTGCCAAGGTGTACACTGAATACTAAAACAGATATCAACCGAACACAATGACCGCACATTAGATTTAAATGGCGCCTGTGTTATTAAAACAATGGACACTCGAAATAAATTGGCGCGGTTACAAAAAGTCAGTGTGTATAACTAATGACAAAACAGATAGAAGCAAGTCTCCTAATTATAGATAAGTCATCAATTTTATTTCTATCCTGAATAGCAGGCAGGTTTTGTTATTTTCTGGGAAATACGTTGTTTCAATAAATTTCCGCTTTTAGAAACAGAATTACTCTGAAATAACAATATTTCGATATGGTCATAGCTGCATAAAAAAAAAAGAAAAAACTTTTGAAAAATGACTGTAAACTTGTTTTATTGATTATGTTCCGAAATACATTGCATTGTGTCCTACTTCCGTTCAAACTTTACTTTCAAAATCAATATGATTTGTATACAAAATCTGTTCTAAAAATTGACGAAATGAGAGAGAGAGTGACAGTGGGAGACAGAGGGAGACAAACACACCCTCACACAAAGAGAGAGAGAGAGAGAGAGAGAGAGAGAGAGAGAGAGAGAGAGAGAGAGAAGCGGGGAAGGAGGTTGGTTAGGTTAGAGATACACACAAACATATATTAGCGATCCATACGGACTTCGGTTGTCTTTAAAATTATTATTTCTTTTGATAAATGATAAAGTAAAAACCCAATCAAATTAATCATTATCATTAGAAGCCAGAAAAAAACATTGCAGTGGTGTCACGACTGTGTGAATATCGACTGTCCCCCCCAAAATGTTTTATATCGTAACTACGACATAGTACTAACATTATTGTTGCCTTTGGTTGTCGTTATAATTCAGCTTCCGCTCACGATCATATACTCTATCACGTGTAAATGAGACTGAGATTCCTCACATAAAAACACAAAGTGCTCTGTGTGCAAGCTATGATTTTTTTTATATTATAACTTATTTCGAATTCTTAAAACAGTTCAATCATACAAAAAACTATTTGCCCGTGTATACAAAAACATGAACGAGTTATTGACAAAACATAACAACACCGGAAACGTTTAAAAAGGTCAATGAAAGTAAAAAATTAGACATATACACTATAAAGTATAAACATCACTATCACATAAGAGATTCTTATCATGAGATCTTTGTGCTGAATGAAATAATTGTTAAATCTCTGCAATTTGAAATGGAATTTTCATTGGAGCAATAACAAATTATATTGAATTTTATATTAAGAGATCAATCAAAAACATCACAACATATAGCAAAGCGTGACAGTATCCCCGCGTTCCGCTGTTTAAAAGAAAGACACACAATCATACGTAAATATTACATTATTTTGTTAAAGCATCTGAAGGCCTTTCTATCCTTGAAAAGAACTTGATTCTACCATATCCAGGTTTTGAGAAGAAGATTTTTAAAGTTGTGATCAATTTTACCCTTTTTGGCCCCGCCCCTCAGGCCCCTGGAGGTCAGGGACCATATAATTTGAAATTTTGGTGCGCCTTAAACCATGTAAAGGTTTCGCAAAATTTCATTGAAATCAGCTTTCCAAAAGAACTCGAAAATGTTAAAAGTTTACGACGCACGAGTCACAACGCAGAACGCCGGACAAAAGGGGATCGCATTAGGTCACCCTGGGATTGTTTTTCTCAGATGACCTGAAAATATTTCAACTGAAGATTACAAATGATAATTAAGCTGCTCTTTCATGATGACAAAACTTTCAAAACTATGACCAGTAAAAGAAGGACATGTATAACCCATCTTTCAAGTAGGTTTTTAGTAGGTTAGCGTGCTGGCTAGTGTTTCAAAGTAAGCTGAGAAATGGACCAGGCTGTGCTAACGTGGTTGTGATCTTAAACAAGACAATTTATCGAAAGTGTCATGGATAGCATGTAACGGGCCTCTCCATTAAAACAAAAACACAATAAATCCATTTGAAAAGATTTCAGAATGTGTATAAATACAGGACGATCTTTAGTATATAGATAAATACCAGACTGTTTTCAAGAAAAATTGCTTCATTATCTTGCAAACACGGTTTATTCACGGTTTATTCTCCATTAACACACAGTAGAAATCTTATTTTAAATGACTATTAATCTGCTTTAATTGCAATACATATACAACTGTGTGAAGTTGACACCTTTTTTCTACTCACATACAAAATGTAAGTACATGTGTAAGTATCAAATTCCTAGAGTTGAAGACTAATTATACAAAATCAATTTTCTGGCATTCATGCATAATACGTCTTCAAAGATTTGTTGTCATGCATTTACAATACTGAACAGTAACCTCAAGAGATTTGCTACTTTATCCAAAATGTACCTGCAACTGTGGTTGTATGGAAAATTAGTAATGTGCAATTTCTGTAAATAGGTTATCTAGATTAATCAGATAGCAAAGGTGCTGTTTAAATCGGTTTTTATCTGGGTCAACACTAAGGCCTTTAAAAGGACATGTACTACACATCAGTCTTTTTTTTTTATCTTTGTCCCCTAAACAATGAAAATTGTCACTCGTTCAGAAGTTCCATTGGTATTATCACCCGATACATGGGCAATGAATTAATGACAAAACATGTACATATGAAATTATTGAAGATATCCAGCACCTCCTATCTTATCTCAAAACCCTGTTTTATAAGGACAGAGGATAACTTTTAATTGGTCATGTACATAGAATTATCACCAAGGGCAGGTCATTGCCTTAGATAATGTGACACCATAGTAATTTGGACCAGTCTCAGATCTATAAAACATGGTAGTGTGTGGACTGTCACAATATATGTAGGGTTAAACCCAATAAATAAATAAATAAATAACGATAAAAGTCTTCATCAGGATTTTAAGTTCATTCCAACGGTCTAAAGATGAGTTCATGTTCCACTCCATAGCTTCCAGGTAATCCAGTTAAGTTGGTATATTTCTAGGTAAACTGTTATCACTTTAAATTCAAACTGATCTTGACATTACTTTGACCTGAACGTGACCTTGTCATCAAATTGGGTATAATCAGATGATCAAGTAATTACTATAATTAATGAAGAATGCTCAAATAGCATCAGTACCAGATATATTTGTACCTATGTACCACCATCATCGTCATAATCATCATCTTCTTCTAGAAAACATCATCAACCAGCCGGTGGTTTGGTGGCACAGTTGCAACTCACTTGTCTTTCAAATAACCGTTCGGGGTTCAATTCCCCAGAGGGATACAGGTTTCCTTCTAGAGTTATACCCCTCGCATGCTTCCAACAAATGTGATTTTTTTAAAGTTGAAATAATAGTTTCCATATGTAAATAAGTCATGTACATGCAATCATACAACACGAAGACAAAGAAAAACAAAACAAAAGACGACAAGATAACGCAAAGCGTGACATTATCACCGCATCTAGCGGTTTAAAAGAAAGACACACAATCATTTATGTTGATATCACAAACAAGTTTAATTTCTATTTGTTATCTTAAATTGTTCCATACAAAGAATTGAAATTGAAAATTTCTGCTAAGGCACTAGATTGATGCCCGTACAAAGTTTTGAGGAACAGGTAATCACCTTGAACGGTTTAAGAGAACTGATCTGAAATAAACTGAACTTTGTAATCTGTTTCCATGGTAACAGAAAAAGTATCTAAAATGTGAACTTTACCTTAGCAAAGATACTACTAGTTTAATAGGTGTAACAACGTTTTGAGCAATTATCTTGAATGGTTTAAGAGAACTGATCTGAAATAAACTGAACTTTGTAATTTAGCCTATCTGTTTCCATGGTAACAGAAAAAGTATTTAAAATGTGAGCTTTCCCATAGCAAAGATACTACTAGTTTAATAAGTGTAAAAAAAGTTTTGAGCAATTATCAGGTTTCAGAAATCCCTGAAATTTGTGATGAGGGTTATCTGTTTCCATGGTAACAATAAATGTAACAATAAAGTCTTTGACAACATATATAGACTATAAAATCAATATAAAAATCTTATATATATATATATAAAAATAAATGTACAAGAGTTTTCCTTTCAGAATTACAGAGATTGCATAGAGGACTATCTATCACCTTTGCTCTTAAAAAGAAAGTTGTAGTCAAAATATGATGAAAGACAAAATAGAAAGATATCATCTGTGGCCAACTTTTAAGAAAGTATGAAAAATAGCCTGGTTTTGGAAGTATGAAAATTGAAGTGTCCAAAACAGTGCTTTTCTCAAAAGTAATGGCTTTTTATATGATTTTTGGCTGCCTTTTTCAACATTTAAGAAACGTTTCTCATGAAATAGTGTGATATGTAGTATCAAAATATTGGTTGGTACAATGTGTACACATTAATGACATAATTTCATTGGATTTGCCTCATAATAATGCACTAGAAGGCATTACATAACAACTACTTTAACACCCACCAAGGTGTTAGTCAAGGAGCTCCCATTTTATAAGAAATCAATTCCGAGACTAACTTTTCCGTATTTAAGCTTCTGATACCCATATCTGTTAATGGTTATCATATTTTGAAATTCCAAGTGGGGGCCGATGCTAATGTTAAAATCCCATATATGTTGACCAAACCTTTCCAAACATTCAAATACTTGATTAACATCAAACAGCTGTCGAAAGAACATCCACATCTTACAGTTTGAATGTAGTTAGGAGACAGTACATGTTTTACTCCAAATCGGTACCCTTCAGTTGGTTCCGTGGCAGAGACAATGTATTTCTCATTCATGGAATGTGACAAAAGTTTTCGAAGATTAAACTGGAAATCAGGTACATGGTAGAGCAAACGTGCTCTAATCTTGAATGGTCAAAATTGTTATTTTTCTACAAGATATTTGTTATATGTGTTTCAAACCAGTAAAATATATGTTTGTTAAATTCATTTGAATCATTCAAGACTTTTAGTATGATTTCATTT